CTCTCCACTTATCTGGCCCAGTGGGTGTAGGAGTAACACAGTGTCCCTTCCTGTTAGTGTGGTGGGTCGGTGGCTGCCTTCAGGCCTCATGCTGGGCTGGCTCCTTCCCAACTAACAGACTTTCCTCCCTTGGAGACTTTGAGGTAGTAGAGATCATCCTGTCCAACATCCTTCCAATAGGTAGGCTCCCCTCCCTGGGACTCCCTCACAGGCTCTACACTCCAGCCTTCTCTCAATCCATCTTCAACCAGACTCTCCTGCTCCACAAGCTCTGTTATATTTAAGGGTTGTCTTGGCCACCATGCCCAGCCTCCTTTCAGGGGATTAACCAAGGTCCCTCAAACATGCAGATCTGGACTGCCTCCCCTCCTCCACCCCATTTCCAGAAGGTTCGGCCAGGTTCTAGAAGGATGGGAGGACTCCAAAAGCCCTGACTTGTAGAATCTCCCAGCCTGTCCTGAGGTGAACTCCTGCCTCACTCCAAGGCTGACTCATCCCAGGCTAGCTAACTTAGCCCCTTTTCCCCGAGCTAGGTTTGTAATTCTCTTTTGCTGGGGCTGTAATGCACCAGCACTGAGAAATAGCACTAATTTTTAGAGTTACAAGTAACTGTTAATCCACAAAACTGAAGCCAAAGAAAAGAAATAGCTGCATATAACTTGAACTAGTTAATATACTGAGGCTTTTAGGATGTTTGTCCAGTGGCAACCAGAGAAGAAATTAGGGGGAAATAGAAAAAAGTAAGAAAAGCCATGCTCTGTTTACTGCCTTCTCTAACAACTCATACATTGGTGCCCTGACTTTCAGGGATCCCCTATAAATGAGTTTCAGAATCATAGCATTAACACAGTACAAAAACAAGAATGATCTCTAAGCCACCATATCAATGGGACAGAATAAATAAGCCGTTATATTTGGTTTCCATTGCACAAGCGACATTTTGTGCACATGCATGAAGCTAATCAAATTTATCCACAAGGGCTTATAATAACTAACAATTATAAATCATAATAGTAATGAACCCTTAATTGAACAAAACATGCAGTGAAGTTACAGCTGCCATTTTATCTGAAATGTGCCTCACATCCTTGTATGCATGCACACTGTTTTCATTTCATAATTAATTTTACACGCTCTGTTGTGCTTCCCTATAGGCACACAAGAAAAAAGATCTGTGGACATGAAACTCAATAAACAGTTTTAATGCTGTAATTGAATCTCATGAAATGTGGTTATAGCAGCTGCATGATGTACTGGTAGTGACCTTATCTCAGCAAAACAGATAATGCAATGCAGAAATAATGGAATATATAGGGTTTGTTTTATCATGTGTGCATTATATAGGACTCTCTGCTTTCCCTCTCAAACTTTATTAGCTCGTCACAAGATCCTCCGATCAAATGTCAAAACACAACATCAGCTCTAGTCCCAAAGGGCTTCTTATTCTCTTCCTACACTTCACACAACTGTGCTATTGTGTCCCCTTACATCTGGAACATGTATAAGTTTATGTGCATTAAGAGTTTATTATGCTTTTCTATTTACAAAAGTTCAATGAGTTCATGAATCATGCTTATTTCTTGCTCTGTTTTAAAGTAATGCAGATTTCTGTTTGAGGCACTCAGATATCTGGATTTTAGCAACCTACCCAAATTTCCGAGAAATCAAAGATAGAACATTTTGTAATGTTAATTTTTTTGAGCCAAAAGAGACACCCCCTGACACACTTCTAGCAAACCAAGAACAATACATGAACACTTTTTTGAATATACCAATGGTCAACGCTCAAAAGTAAAAAAGAAAAAAATACTTAAGTACCCTAGTGTTTTTTTCACAACTATTCACCTTTATATTAATACTTGAATATATGGAATCATTTAGCGGCTGTGCTAACATTTAGGGCTAAGTAAACATTTTTAGTGGTAAAATGGTACATCCCATAATGCAAATATACAAGAAAGACAATTGGAAAATGCAGTGTTTATCCAGTGGTGGTATGCGGGGTGAAAAATGCCAACTATACGCATTTTTGGTCATTGAAATATGGCCATTTGGTAGTTTGGTGAAAATGTCCCCATTATTTACAGGTGGTCAATGAAAAATATCTCCTTTAACAACAGGAGTAGAATTACCTAAGCCACTGGAAACTCTACTTAGGCCAGGCTATCACAGCAGAAGTTAAGCCATTGGATGTGAACATAGCTATTCAGGACACTATCTACAATCAGATCTCCCCACACTCTGCAGCTTTCTGCTGTTAGGTTGGCAGTGTTTAGCCATGGTTCACGCTGATATGGTTTTGGATGTGTTTTGGAGTGCAGTGATTCACATGACATGGTAAATAAAATGTTTTCCTATGGGGGGAATTCACATCTATGCAGTCTATGTTTTCAAAAAGAGTCTTGTGCGTGTTTGGAGTGTTGCAGTCTGATTTGAAGCTCAGTAGAGTTGAAGAACGCATAGCAAACCCTGCTGGAACCGCATATGAATCTCTCCGGAGGTGCTCCTAGAATCGCACTTGAAAACTGATTAAGCGCACATGGCTTCAGTATGACCCTATCCTTAAACAGGTAGGTAGTTTACGGTTTCACTGCTAATAACTAACAGTGAGGTCAAAGTAAAATAAAAAGTTACTTATGTTTTCATACTCAATAACTTTTTGCTTTTTTGAAGTACAATGTAACAGCTAGGTCTTTGCAAGGTCAGGGTATGTCAGCAGTACAGAATTTGCATCTTGGAACCCCAATTTTACATCTTGTATTGTTTGACAATTATTAAGATGTAACATTTATTTTGTTCCTTAAAGCCATATTTTTAGGTTTCTGAGAATAAGAAGAATTAAAACCAAAACATCTGAGCTTCTCTGGGTTTAGCAGTAGCTGTCTGCAGCTCCATAGAGTCTCTACTTCAAAAACTAACTGTGCCTCCTCTACTATTTGAATACACAAATCCTTACATTTTTATCAAGCAGCACCTTGCAAAAGTATCAATATCAACTTAGAATTTAACCTCCCTGGCGGTATGATTATTTCAGATTTTTGGTGCTGAAAGCGGTACCATTATTCTGCATGGAAATATGTATTTTTTTATTGTAGGCTGTAATATTTAGGAATAACTCACTGAAATCTGTCCGAACAAGAGTCTATTAAACATCCCGGGTATGATAAAATTTGAAACACAAAATCATAAATTATAATTTAATAAATAATCATAAAAAAATAATAATATAATAATAATACATTTAATTCAATAATATAATCAAACCAAAAACACTGAAATTTGAAATATAGCGCCATAATAAGTTTGTACATTGCTGAGTAAAGTCGCAGAATCGTTTTCAGTGTCTGATGACGAATTTCCCCACAAATCATTATCACTCAATTCTGCAAGTGGTTCTGATTTACTATCGCTGTTCTCTAGCTGATCTAAACCGCTTTTGACCTAAAGGGACACTTTTGGGATGCCATGGACTTTTCTCAGTTTCCAGGCAGAAAGAACAGACAAAATGCAGCAGGGCACAGGACAAAGCACTAGGGACAAAATGTATGTGAAATTGGTTGAGACAGCAATGTTTTACTATGTAAAATGTAAAAAAAAAAAATGACATTATTTAAAATTTTTAAATTTCCCGCCGCCGCCGGCGGCGCCCGTACGTCCCGACGTCACAGGGACAGGACACAGAAGCCGGATGCCGGCATCGGCCGGAGGAGATGGCCGGGGACGCTGCAGGGGACACATCGTGGGAGCGCAGGGTAAGGTAAGTGAAGATGAACAAATGCCGGAGCAGTGCCGCATGGTATTCCTTTGTGTAGCTCGGGGTTACCGCTCTTGGTACTGAAATGTTACCCCAAGCTACACTCGGGAATACCGCCAAGGAGGTTAAGGCAAGCAAAGAAATATTACTTAAAAATACTTATGTGATCTGTATTAACATTCAAAAATTTTGTACTTCTGTTCAGAAGGTCTGATTTAGGCACCCCTGCCAGATAGCATGTTTAGGCTGGTGGTCCAGTTTTTATCATGTGCAGTTAAAATATAACTTGGCCAGCCTACAAATGGATAATGAAGAAGAAGCAGCACACTGAAGAGGTCATCCTTCTGCAATAGACTGTACTGTGCAATAAAGCCATGCAGGCCTCTTCTGCTCTGAGTCCTGCTGTTTATAGGATTTAAGAGGATGATAATATTGAACTTTGCTTCCACTTCAAACATAGGGGCTTCTTGGGAAATCCCTGCACATTTAAAACCATTCTAACTCTTGGTTTTCTAAGCGTAGCACTACCCCCTTAGGAGTCGCTATGTTATTTTCAGGATCCCCGTCATTCTGGACCCCTTTCTGAAAGCCCACCTCCTGCTGACACCACAGGATTCTTTTGACCAGAATAAATTACCACCAGAAAGTAGACTCACGCACAAATTAGAGTAAACTGATATGAGCTTTATATTAAACTTCAATGTAAGGTTGGTTAAACAGTACAAAATGGTATAGAAATAGAAAGAGCTCTTTGACCAGGATAGTCAATGTCCCTTTAAATGCAGTGAGGATTCTTCTGTACACTTGCAGGGGCCAAGTTGGTGCACAAATAGGAAGTGATGTAGGTGACAGTTCCTTAATAGGTTAACACAAGGAGAAGAAGAAGAAGAAAGGACAAGTACTCCCCCTTTAAGTGGCACATGACTTGGGTGTTGTCCCCTTTTTTGCACTCGAGAAAAAGAGCAGCTTTATGCAAATAAAGTGTCAAAACTGGCAGTAGGGCTTGTTGGCAACCGGTAACTCCACTCTGGACTGCTGTTACCAATGGCAACAGTGGTAGATGTTCCTCTAAGAGGGTAGGTCACTGGTTAACCGCTTAGGGCCCACCCACAGTACATTTACTGCTGCAGGGCAGGCTCTGTGCACATAATCACGTATATACATGTGATTCTGCATTTCTGGTTACGGGGCCTACCCACGCTCTCAATCGCAGCCCCGGGTATCAGTCACCGGGTCCCGGCTGGTGATTACCCACCTGCGCCTGGTGATTACTGGCAATCACCGACAGGGTGGAGGGCTGCATTGTTTACCAGCTGCCACCCTCCCTGTCAGTTTGGGCACACTGCTCGGGATGGCTGAGCACAGCCATCCCGATCAGAGTGCTTTACAGTGAAGCACACACCCCCACCCCCTAGTGAAACACTCCCATCACACAGTTAACCCTTGCCCCCAAATGTTAACCCCTTCCTGCCCAGTGCCATTAGTACAGTGCTTTTTTTTTAGCACTGATCGCTGTATTGGTGTCACTGGTGATGTCAGTGACATCAAGTCAGCTCCCCCCCAGTGTCAGAATGCCCGCCGCAGTCCCGCAGTCCTGCATTCCCACTATAAGTCGCTAATTGCTGCCATAAGTCGCTGATCGCCGCCATTATTAGTATAAAAAAAAATTCCAGTATCTATACTGCCATTTGTAAAAGCTATAAATTTCACGTAAACCAATTAATATACACATATTGGGATTTTTTTTAGCAAAGACATATCGCAGAATACATTTTGGCCTAAATTTATGACGAAATTTGATTTTTAAACTTTTATACTGTACATGTTTTATAGCAAAAGGTCCAAAATATTGTTTTTTTTTTCTCAAAATTGTCAGTCTTTTTTTATAGTGCAAAAAATAAAAAGGTAATTAAATAGCACAGCAAGAAAACTCAATTTGTAGGAAAAAAAGGATGTAAATTTTATTTGGGTGCAGCGCTGCATGACCTCACAATTGTCAGTTAAAGTAATGCAGAGGTGTAACGCAAACAGCTTCTCTAACTGCTTCCTGACTGCCCTATAGCAGAAATACTGCTACAGAGTGGTACAAGTGCGCAAAATCACGTATATATACATGGTTTGCGCTCCCGTGGTTTTCACGCCCCTCCCAGATAGCGTCAGTACACCAGTAATCACATTTAACCCCTTGATTGCCAGGAACATGCTCATACACAATAAACCTCCATTGCTAATATAGTGTCTGAACAGATCAATATCTTTGATCAGATCAGCACTATACCAGCATCCACATTAGTATAGTGTCCCCAAAAACACAGCAGTAGCAGGATCAGCGGCATCTGCATTTAGCTCCTATGCTCCCTCCCCTTCTCCTCCAGCAAGTGCAGTGTCAGTAGGTCACTGTCACTTGATACATTGCACACAAAACCACAGTGTTAGCAGAATCAGGCCTGATCTCAGCTAGCACTTGCCAGTAAATTTTGATGACTCTCATGCAGCAGAGTGCCAGTACTAGTGCCGCTCTATCTTTTGGTGAACTGGCGAGCACCAGCGGCCTAGTACATCCTGATCTTTCATATACTAGCACTGCAGTATCATTTGGTGGCGTGGCGAGTCCCATAAGTGCAGTACAAGCTGGTGTGATGGCTAGCACAAGTATTGTCCCGCAACCACCAAGAATTCGCACACAGGCCCGTAGAGCCCCTAGTATCCTTTCGGATGTGCTTGCAAATCCCAATTGGCAGCCCACAAATCTGCAGCACCTGTACTTCCCCCATTCACTGCCCAACCTGGAATTCAGGTGGAAACAGCAAATTTAAATACTCCCCTTGATTTTTTGGAGCTGTTTTTCATGGAAGATCTGTATGCATTGATCGTGCAACAAAGCAATTTATATGCACAACAATTTATTGCCGCCAACCAAAATTCAAACCTTGCCAGACCATTCACATGGAAACCCATTGTGGTTTCCAAATTTAAATTTTTTTTGGGCCTAACCCTCAACATGGGCATTACTAGAAAAAATGAATTGCGATTGTATTGGTCCATAGACCCGATTCATCATATGCCCGTGTTCTCTGCTGCCATGGCCAGGCATAAATATAAGAGTATAATGTTTTGTATGCATTTCAACGGCAACACACTCTGTCATCCTCGGGGGACTCTGAATTTGACCGGCTCCACAAAATTCGGCCCCTCGTAAATCACCTTAACCTAAAATTTGCAGATGTCTATACTCCCCAGCAAAACATCTGCGTTGATGAGTCCCTCATTAATTTTTCTGGCCGCCTTGCATTCAAACAATATCTCCCCAGCAAGCGTGTCAGATATGGGGTGAAGATGTATAAGACTTGTGAGAGGGCAACAGGCTATACATATAAGTTTTGGATTTATGAGGGAAAAGTTTGTCACATGGAGCCCCCCGGATGCCCAGACTACATAGGGAGTAGTGGCAAGATAGTTTGGGACTTGGTGTCATCATTTTTCCATATACAGTGGGGCAAAAAAGTATTTAGTCAGCCACCAATTGTGCAAGTTCTCCCACTTAAAAAGATGAGAGAGGCCTGTAATTGGCATCATAGGTAGACCTCAACTATGAGAGACAAAATGAGAAAAAAAATCCAGACAATCACATTGGCTGATTTGGAAAGAATTTATTTGCAAATTATGGAGGAAAATAAGAATTTGGTCAATATAAAAAGTTCACCTCAATACTTTGTTATATATCCTTTGTTGGCAATGACAGAGGTCAAATGTTTCCTGTAAGTCTTCACAAGGTTGGCACACACTGTTGCTGGTATGTTGGCCCATTCCTCCATGCAGATCTCCTCTAGAGCAGTGATGTTTTGGGGCTGTCCCTGGGCAACACGGACTTTCAACTCCCTCCAAAGGTTTTCTATGGGGTTGAGATCTGGAGACTGGCTAGGCCACTCCAGGACCTTGAAATGCTTCTTACGAAGCCACTCCTTCATTGCCCGGGTAGTATGTTTGGGATCATTGTCATGTTGGAAGACCCAGCCACGTTTCATCTTCAATGCCCTTGCTGATGGAAGGAGGTTTGCACTCAAAATCTCACGATACATGGCCCCATTCATTCTGTCCTGTACATGGATCAGTCGTCCTGGTCCCTTTGCAGAGAAACAGCCCCAAAGCATGATGTTGCCACCCCCATGCTTCACAGTAGGTATGGTGTTTTTTGGATGCAACTCAGCATTCTCTCTCCTCCAAACACGACGAGATTACAGGCCTCTCTCATCTTTTTAAGTGGGAGAACTTGCACAATTGGTGGCTGACTAAATACTTTTTTGCCCCACTGTATGTGGCCAATTTTTATTCAAGCGTGCCACTATTTAGACATTTGTACAATCTTGGAATTGGCACATGTGGCACCGTGCAACCTAATGTGTGCCCACGATTAGAAGTGGGTGGATGCAGGGCGGTATATTCTAATGGTGGGCATACCATACACTTTTTCTGGAAGAGATTTCTTCTCTTTTTTTATTCAGCCCACAGGCTGCATACAAAAATGAAAGAACATATCATAAATACCCAACAAGGACCAGCGTTGTACTGGAACATCACTAGAATTTGAATGGTTATACCAGGATGATGCCTACAGCTGCAGGCATCATCCTGGTATCGTTTGTTTCAGCCAGCGATCGGCTTTCATATAAAAGCAATCCTAGTGGCTAATTAGCTGCAGGATTGCTTTTACAAGCAGTGGGAGATGATGCCCCCCTACCCCGCTGCCTTCTCGGGAAGTCCCGTGCCATCTGGGGAACCTGAGAATGCAGTCGGTGTTTCTGCCAGCTGGTGGTTAGAAGAGTGAATGATGTGTGGCATAAACCTCTAATGCTGGGCATAAAATGCCCCCACCCCCCAAAATGACCCCTTTTTGGAAAGTGGACACCCCAAACTATTTGCTGAGAGACATGTTGAGTCAATAGAAAATTTTATTACACAAAATTGTCAATTAAATTATTTATTGCTCACACATGCCATGGGTATATGTGGAATTACTCCCCAAAATACAAACTTCTACTTCTCCCGAGTATGGGGGTACCACATGTGAGAGACTTCTTGGCAGTCTAGCCAAGTACAGGACTCAAAATCCAATAAGTACCTTCAGGCTTTTAAGGGCTTTATTTCCTCATTACACTTCCTGACTACCTATCACAGTTTCGGAGGCCCTGAAATGCCAGGATAGCACCAAACCCCCCCCCCCCCAAATGACCCCTTTTTAGAAAGTAGACACCCCAAGGAATTTGATAAGAAGCATAGTCAGTATTGTGCAGATCTCATTTGTTGCCACAAGTTTTTGGAAAATGAAAAAAGAAAACAAAAACATATTTTTTCTTTTCTTTTTTTATATTTCAAAACCTTGTGAGAAAAAATGAGATCTGCAAAATACTTACCATCAGGGGCAGACTGACCATTTGGAAACTCGGGCACTGCCCAAGGGCCCGGGGTCAGTAGGGGGCCCCATGATATGCCCCTAGTACTTTTTTCATAGGCTTTTTTGAGTTTGGCCAAGGACACAGGGGCCCCATGATCCCCTATTGCCTGGGGGCCCCATGAGTTGTCAGCCCCCCCCTGCTCACCATGCTTTTTTTTTAATTCTTTGAGGTGTCTACTTACCAAAAAGGGGTCATTTGGGGGGGGGGGGGTGCTATCCTGGCATTTCAGAGCCTTCAAAACTGTGATAGGTAATGAGGAAGTGAAATGAGGAAGTTACGCACCTTCAGGCTTTCAAAGTGGTCATTGGATTTCAGGCTCCTGTATGTGGCTAGGCTCCCAAAAAGTCCACACATGTGGTATTCCCATACTCGGTAGAAGTATCAGAATGTATTTTGGGGTGTAATTCCGCATATACCCATTGTGTGTGAGAAACATATAATTTAAATGACAACTTTGTGTGTAAAAAAAAAAAAGAGAGAAGTTTTTTGTCATATTCCAAAAACTTGTGGGAAAAAAAAATAATCTTCCATGGACTCAATATGCCTCTCAGCAGATAGCTTAGGGTGTCTACTTTCCGAAAAGAGGTAATTTGGGGGTGTTTGTGCTGTCCTGGTATTTTAGCACCTCAAGAAATGTGATGGGAAGTCAGAAAGTAAAAGCTGTGTAAATTACAGTATCTATACCATAGTATGTAGATGCTAGAACTTTCACAGAAAGCAATCATTATACACTTATTGGGATTTTTTAACCAAGAACATGTAGCAGAATACATTTTGGCCTAAATTTATGATGAAATTTGAGTTTTTTGGGATATTTTTTTATGACAGAAATTAGAAAATATAATTTAAAAATAAAAAAAAAATTTCAAAACTTTTTTTGTTTATAACACCAACAATAAAAAGCACACAGGTGATCAAATACCACCAAAAGAAAGC